TTTTTTCTTTTAGAATGCTTCACTCTCCTCATAGAGTATCATTGTAGGTAATAGGCAGAATATATTAATGAAGGACAGGCTTTCTTCCCCTTACTAGCACCTCCCACATTAATTTTTGTCTCTCTAAAATGCTTTACCTTTGATGCATGGTCTAATTCTAAGTGATAAAAGAGCGACACTTTGTTTAAAAAAATTGAAATGAAAAATTGTTTCTATCTACAATAGTGATGCTAAGAAATTAAGGACTTCTAAAAACCTTAAACCAAAATTAAGTACTTTTAAGGGCCCTTATTTTCCAAAATAAAAATTAAGCAGTTTTTAAGGACTGTGTGAACCTTGTTATATAGTTGCAGTTTATGCACAGTTAATAAAACTTAATCATTTTCTTCATTTTTTTTTATTGTGCTATATATATATATAAATTTTACAAATGTTTTTTTTTAAATCTGAAACTTCATAGATATATGATAGAATCATTCAATTAGAAGTCATTTAAATAAAAGCTTAGCAAAACTGAATGAGAACTGATATCAAAGATTAAAAAAAATTTAACTACAAACTTTAAATTTATAAATTAACTAAAAATATTTACAAAGATATGTACAAGACGATGACACCAAATGCAGAATTGGTGGTGCATCTTCAATTGTCATCCCCTACATCTGAGATTTCAGAAGAATCAATCCAAAGATATGCATCTGCTTCAGCCGCAGTCAGCATAATAGGTTTTGAGGGATGAAACGATATTGAATGAACCACTTTATGCCTTTCATGTTTGAGAGTTTCTTTAATNTAGTATGTTGTCTAATATCGGACAGTATGCCTCTCATTATAATGAATGATGCCTAAAGTTCTGTCTCTTATTCCATAGGCTCCATTTTATTTTCAAGACCTTTAGAAGGTACACATTTAAATGTTTAATTCCAATATAGAGACCAAAATTCAATCATTTCATCTGAAAAAAGTTCAATTATGCGATAAATCTTCTTAATTCTTACCTACCAACATTGGAGAAATAAAATAAGGGAGATTTCACAAGCGAAATTTTTTTGGGCTGCAAGTAAAGTTTTGATACATCACGCATAGTTATGTAAGTCAAAATTGGAAATAATATACAATAATTACATATAGCAAAGTAAAAAATATTTATATACATCTTAATCTAAAGAAGAGTTTTTAAACCATTATTTATAACTACTTAAACTATAAACTTAACATTATTTACTTAGACTATAAACTTTATATTATTTACTTATAATTTACTTACTTTAACAAAAACTATATTAAATTTAGCAAAGTAAAAAATACGTATACAAATCTTAATCAAAAGAAGATTTTTTAAACTATTATTTATAATTACTATAACACTCACTATATTTATATTACTTTACTTAAACTATAAACACTCAACATGCTGCGGTACTTGCAGTAGCACCATCTATTGAGGAATAAGAGAAGTATTTTTGCTATCAGCGGACATTTTATAACCAAATATTTTTTTCAAAAATTTCTTCAACAAATACAGAGAAATTTGAGAATTTACAGGTAAACGAGAGATAGTCTTAAAATACAGGAGTCTTCGTTAAAAAACAGGAGACTTGGCAGATATGTATTGTTTAGGAGCTTCCTGGTTGTAAGATTTTCAATGTCCTCAGGCGAGGGGGTCTTTAGGATCTGGTGTAAGCTTTCCTACACCAGGGGGATGAGTAACAACAACAGAAGAAGTTCTCAATAAACTATTTATACCATTATTTTCTTTGATTTTAACACATAATAAATGTAAAACTCCTTGAATCCCCTTTGAATGAATGACAAGTGACAAAGCCCTTTAAATTCTTAAGTCTTGGATAGTTGTAATTTATGACCACTCCTAATCTATGTAACTCTCATTATACAATAAATGTATCAACCACTCTGTCGATTTTTCAAACAATAATAAAATTCAGTTACGTTTTTCATGCACTGATGCTACGTCACATAGGGTTGAATTTTTTTTTTTGAAAAGTTCAAGAGATTCTTACACATTGAAATTAAGATTTTCCATTCGCGACTGCAACGCTCGAATACGCCACCTGGGGAAAAGACCGGTTCCATGTCTTGACCCTCCCCTTTCCCTCTCCTCAGTTGTATAGGAATGTACAACAATATTTTCCCCTTTCTTAACATTTTTCGTCATGTACGTTAGTTCTAACGGAGTATCGTATCGGAAGTACGTTAGTTTCTGTCTTGATTTTCACATAGATTAAAATCTTTCAAGTTAGGAAACTATACGGAACTGGAAACTACATTAAACATAGCTCTAAAAGAAAGCGCCAAGGAAATTAAAAAATTCTTTTTTAAACATTTAAATGCGAAAAAATAATAAGAAAGGGGAAAATATTGTAGTACATTTCTATACAATTGAAAAGATGAGGAGAGGGAAGGGTCAAAGGCATGGAATTGGTCTTCTCCCCAGATGGCATATTCAAGCATTGCAATCGCCAAGTTTCCTAACTTAAAAGTTTTTAATCAATTTGAAAATCAAGACAGAAACGAACGTACTTTCTTCTCTCGTGACTCTCCACACGCTAATGGTGAAAGAATGCGAAGTGTTGCCATGGGAGGAAAGTTCTGCTCTACACCCCCTGTAACCCATTCAGATTACAAATTCATATAATTCGACAAACTCACATAATAATAATGTAGCACCCTTTGCAGTTTCGTAAAAGTTACAAGTATTTATGACTTTTAACAATACGTATAGTTATACAGTAAGAATATTTAATTACTTGAAAGAATTCTAGCGTTTTAATAACTTTTCTTTCTATCGACATCATAAAATGAGTACTTTGTAAATGAACTGCAGATAGAATCTAAGCTAAATAGTGTGTTGAATCATTCGATTCAAATTTTGCGAATCGATATTGATTCGTTAAGTCATACCTAAACGCTCCTAATGTATACCTTAAGTCATGTATACTTAACGTAAAGTATTGTTATTCCAGTAAAAAAATTACTAAGTTCGAATTGAGATCTGAATGACTTGATTTTAACAAATGATTTGAATCACTTAATTTGAATCCCTGGTTCGAATAGTGATACGGATTAGAACATTGAATGTCTTTGTGCTAGAACATTGTGCTCAGTGGCGAGCGAGCGCTGTGAGCCATGGTGCACAGCGTGAACCACATAGGATTGCGTAGCAATTCTCGGGGATTGGCGAGCATCAGCGAGCAGGGGGCGGAGCCTCCTAGTATACTTATAAAGTGCAATTGAGAGATCCTTTGTACACAGGTTAGTGGCAGGGTAACATTCGTCAGTTTACTCGCATGAGATTGTAAAGTATGTTGCTGCAACAAGAATGCATTATGATTTAAAGTCGTGAAAGCCAATTAAAAGGAGAAATAATTATTCAGATAAAAATCAAATCAATACTTAGATATTTAATACAGGAAAAATTCTTAAGATGTATTTGCTAAAATTATACTTTAATAAACACATATTGATTAGCATGTTCAGTGCCCTACCAATTTTTAGGGAAATTCCCGCCAGGTCACGCGCGCTGCTTCGAAGCACTCAGCATAGTAGTGTAAAACATACTACTAATAGAATGAAATAAATAAAACTTTCCTTTGTAGTAAATAAAAATTAATTAAATTTTCAGTAATTACTCTTAACAGGGTGTGTAACCAAATCTTTCAACAAAATATAAGCATCTTTTAAGCACTATATACATTAACAAAATAATTTTCAAAGACTTGAGATGATAAAACAACTCGTTTCTGACAAAGAACTCTTTTCTTGATTATATTAGCCAACATAAAAAGAATCGAGATATTTTTCGGTTCGATTTCAGAGGGTAGAAAATAAAATTTAGAATATCTTGCAAAGAGTTGCACATGAGACTGCTAGGAACTCACCGTACTCAGCTCAGCAGATTTGGAAGTATTTCATCAAACATGCAAAACGATTGCCGTTTTCATACGCTATGGACTGACGGTACAACGAAAGGGATTGTCGTTGAATGAATTGTGAAAACGTTGAATAGAACAATGTGAAAAAGCACGCTTCCGCATAATACATGGCGAAAAATCAACACAATAAAGAAAAAAATCTCATTTTTGAAAAGGGAAAATTAAGCACTTTTTAAAAACACTTAATGGAAAAAGCACCTTTAAGGGCTTTTAAGAAACGAAAATAAGCACCTTTAAGCACTTTTTAAAAACGCTACGCACCATGTTTAAAAAGTGAATTATTTAGTTTTATGTATCATATTTTATACAGTCAAACCCAGTCTAAATAGAAATGCAACGTCTAAATAGAATGTAGCTTGCAAAACAAGTTAAAAATAAATTTTCTTCTTCCAGCGTGTGCCAAATGTAAAAGATGAAACAGTTTCCGAACCAACTGATGTTTACACCAGGAAAAGAAAATATATTACAATAGGCATACCTTCTGTGGCGCGGAAAAAAGAAAACTACCTCCACAAAACATTGAAATCACTGCTTGAGAACATGGACAAAGATGAAAGAAAAGATGTCACAATAGTTGTTCTTTATGCTGACAGTGACATCAAAATCCGACACAAAAGACTGAAAGAAACAATGCTTCTATTCAACGAATATGTCCAATCAGGTTTGCTACTTCTCATACAAACCTATCCCGAGATATATCAGCCGATGAAGATAACTCGCCGGCTTTACAACGATACGATAGAGAGAATTGCTTGGCGATCCAAGCAAGTGTTAGATTTTGCTTACTTGTTGAAATATTCCAAAACGTTTTCTGAATATTTTCTAATTTTAGAAGACGACATAGAGTCGTCGCTTCATTTCGTAAGCGCCATCCAACGATTCATTCGAACGAGGGAAAATTCGGAATGGGTGTCTCTGACGTTTTCGAGTTTCTACATTATAGGTAGATTGTTCAAGTCGGAGGATTTGAGGAAACTGTCAGAATTCCCGGTGCTCTTTCACCTAGAAAAGCCAGTAGATCTTCTGATCCTCCAATTCCTTGATATCATGGTTCCTGAGAAAAAGATCGTCACCAGGAGAATACCAGGGCTATTCCAGTATATGGGACTTTACTCTTCACTCGATGGCAAAATCCAAAAAGCAAAAAACAGAAGCTTTTCGAACAACATACGAGTGTACCACTTTCCCAATCCACCGGCAGATGTCGTCACTACAATAGGCGTATACAAAAAGCACTACCCGGAGTATTGCTACGACGAATCCGATAAATTCTTCTGGGGTAGCGTACCGAAGAGGAATGACAGTTTTGATGTGATTTTAAGGAAACCCGCAAATGTACGTAGAATTTTCGTCAGTTCCGGCCTTCCGTCACACAAGGAGGATATTATAAGGTACGCAGAATTAAAAGTGGCAACAGTTTTCAAGAAAATGCTGACAGACAGAAAGGCTGTTTGTTCAGAGTTTAACACCGTGGCTCTTTCTGAAATGGGAAAAGCGGATGCAACGGTCAACACGACATTGCCTAAAGAGAACATTCAGTGTATACGGATAGAATTCATCAAGAAGCAATCAAACTGGTTATTGATTAATGAGATATCGGTTGATATAGAACGTACGGAAAATGATTAACTCTTTTTCTGGAGCATTGAATTTTGTTGTTAAAATGGCTTTTAATCTGAAAACTATGAA